ATGTTAAAAAATTAAAAAAAAAAAAAAAAGAGAGAAAGGCACAGAAGGGAAAAACACACCTCCATAAGCTCTAGGCTGAAAGCAATGTCTTTGACTCTATCCAGTGTACACAGCCCACTGACTAGTGTACACACTCCACTGTGTATACACCCCACCTACAGCACACACAAGACACTCGAGAGCCTACCATATAACAGCTAGTACTTATCGGGCCCACCAGGTATCACTTTAAATACATACATGTATTAGCTCCCGGCCATCCTACAAGTAAGTACAACTGCCGTCCCCACATGAGCACAGTGACACAACACCTGTGATTTGCTCATGGTCATTCAGTTAGCACAGGATGGCACTGGGATTGAAGAGAGGCAGTACAATGACAGCATTCCAACAAGACACTGTGGGGGGTCACAATTTCTTCAAACTGTCAGGTTTCTTTATATTTTTTTTCTTTTTGGCGGAACAGGGGATTGAACTCAGGCCCTTGAGCTTGCCAGGGAAGCACTTATTCTACTGAGCCATCTCCCCCGCCCCAAAACTGAGAGGTTTCTGACTAACTGAAATAACTGGAGCTCTTCTCAAGCACTACAAAACAAGAAAGGTACTGTTCCCTCCGCTGCTCTTAAATACTCTACCTTGCCTTTCTTCAGAAGGACTCAAAGTCTTTATCTCATTACTGTTGAACACTTTAGCCAAAAAATAATGAAAGAAATTTTTAAAAATTTAAAAAACAAAGTTAGTCTCATCCCCTGCACTGATATGAAGAGAAGACAAGCAGAACCGAATCAAGGAAACAAACTTCCAATTCGGTTTTCTTTACACAAACCAAGCCACTCTTTAAAAAGATCATTTCAGTATTCCATCACTCTTAAATTCTAAAATATCACATGCATATATATTTTGTACATTATCTTGAGTAAACATAAAGCTATCAAAATAAAGAGGGAAGCACTATATTGGGTTTCTTCTCATACTATGCAATTGAAAATGAAACAAAAATGTTTGATATTTTGTGGTGCAACAAATGTTAACATAAAGAAGCTAGGTGTGGTAGTGCACACTTGTAATCCTTGGAGTCCAACTTGGGCCACTTACTGAGTTCAAGGCCAGTATGAATTACATATGAGACTCCTCCTCAAAAACCCAACTAAGCAGTACATAAAGAGACATGAGGAAAAAAAAAGAGAGACATGAAAATTGCCTTACTATTGTTGCCATTCTTACAATCCAACAATGTAAATTTATAATTAGCCCCTCATCTTTAATTGCTCAAATACCACACTGCATCAAATCTAGAAGCACAGCTCCATTCTTCAATGATTAAAATTTTCCCAAGGCTTGTTAGGTTAAGAACTGAGTGTTTCTTTCCTTAACACTCCAAGTTTCTATTAATGAGAAACCAAGGTTCCAAAAGAAATGAGACTGTCTGTGACTTTGACCATATTACAAAGATAGCCTGTAAAAGGAGAAAACAAGAGCTGTCTTTTAAGGAGTAGTTTCTACTAACGCAATTACCTGACTAGCTGGGAAGAGGGCATTCCTAAAATAGAAACACTGATTTTTCTCTGGTGCATGTTAGCCCCCCAAACAAAACCCTGTACTGACAGGAAAGGAAGCATTTTACTGAACAAAATCAACTGCTCCCAGCCCCATCTTCTACACCACACAGAGTTTTACCTGGGAACGACACAGTTGTGTAAGTAAAGACAAACACACAGAGATAAGTTCATAATGCAGTCAACCAGAAAAGCTAATATGGCAAAATACAAAGGTACACTTGTATTTCTCAAGCTGGGTTTCAAAGAATAAAGATGAGCGTCAAGCAAGATACCTCTCTAGGGTGAACTTACTCTCCAGTTTCTTTTTGTAGGATAATTTCTAAAATAATTGTGTAGAATGAGGCACCAACAGAGAGCTTTTTAAGATAAGTGTTGAGAAAAACTTCAGATCAGAAAAAGTTGCTAGAAAGAGCTGCTAAGGTAGAGGACGAAAGTACACACTCTGGGGACACTCCCTGAAAAATTAAGTCCTTCACACTGGCTGTTTTCAGGGCGCATAAGAAATCAGTTCCCTCTATAAGCGCCCCCCCTTTTTTTTTTGGCAGAACCGGGGGATTGAACTCAAGCCTTTGCGCTTGCCAGGGAAGCGCTTATTCTACTGAGCCATCTCCCCAGTCCCCTACAAGCCCATTTCTAGAACAGGAGATCTCTGGACAATGTCAAAACTACAGCTGCAGAAAAGCTAGTCATCACCCTAATCCCCTGAGGTAAAATAGTAATTTTTAAATTGATACTTAGGTCAACTAACTGGAATGGTATCGTGTGGGACTCTATCGGAATCTTAAAGCTCATTTTTATCACCACTATTGGAACCCCAAGTTTAAGGTATTAAACGTGCAACTCTGGGGTCCACACACAAACTTGGAACAATCCATGAAATTTGCAAACTCAAGTTCAAATTTGCTGCTAGTTCCCAAACTGACATTTCTGAAAGCATGTTTCAGACCAGCTGTGTTGGAATCCCAAGATCTTTTCATGTTAAATTCTTAGACCCCACCTACCAATGTCCTCGAACAGAATCTGCATGAGAGCTGAGATAGGCGTTTTTAATCAGTTCCTGGGGTAATTTTTAAAAATCATTAAATTAAACCCATGGACATCTTTGCCATGTTGTCCCTTTTCTGTTCCAACCTATATTCTAATAGGCATACAGGAGTTACTAAATTCTCCAGTTCTCCCCGAATAGCGGCTTAAAAGGAAACAAGTTCTATACTGATGACCATGCAGGATTTTAGATGGTTTGGGGCCTCTGGCTCATTCTAGAAATAATGTTGTCAAGAAGGACGAGAGCAGCTATTTCTTCAAGGGCTCAGAACCAGAATGATCCCTTCCCTCTTGAACTCCTTCACCATAAGCAGCATCTCTGGGCAATGCCCTGCCACCTGCCAGGTCCATTTCCTTTGCTGCTCCCAACCCTCCTGCTTCACAGACCTGCCTCACGGAGTGGTGTGCAAGCCTTTTACACACTGAAACACACAAGAACACGTCCTGCTCCAGTGCCAAGGCTGGGTAATCAGCAATCATGCCGAACGCCGCTCCTCCATCCCCGTGCGGAGGCTCTGCCCTGCCCCACCCCAACTCCGCGCAACTTTCCCACTGGCGGATCTGCCCCCGCCCTCCCCGAGCGCGGCCCTCCCCAGCCCCGCCCGCGCCCAGCCGGGTACCCTGGTCCGGGCTCCCGCACGCCTCCGCCCGTGCCCGACCTCGGCCCAGGCTTCGGCGCCCCGCCTCGAGGGACGCCTTCCCCCTTCCGCGGCATCTCGGACCCCTCGGGCCACGCGGCCCGACGCCCCTTCCCGCGTCTTCCCGGGGCTGTTTTGCAGGAGCAGGGGTGCGGCCCGCCTCCCATTCCCTCTGTCTCTGCGGCCTGTCATTCTTACCCGCCGGCAGGCCGATTTCGGCGACATCGCCAGTAGTGTCAGGCTCGGCCCCGCCGCAGCCCGCGGGGAAGGAGGGACAGCTGTGGTTGTGGGAGCACTTAATGTCGCGGAAGAACTTCTGGGTTTCGCGCAGGTTCTGCCTCAGCCGGACCAGGTAGCGGCGGTAGCGCCCGAAGCCCCGGCACAGCTCGCGGATCATTCCGCCGCCGCCGCCGCCGCCGGGGCCGGGACCCGACACGGGCTCGCTGCCCCACGGCGGCGCGTCGCCCTCCATCTCCGCAGCCCGCAGTCTTCGCGGCCTGCTCCTGGCCACCGGCCCGGCCCCCTCCTTCCCGCCCCCCAGCGCTGAAGGGAGGTGGATTCCGCCTCCTTACGCCCCCGCCTGCAGTCCGCCGGGCTTCCAGTCTCCCTCTAGCAAACAAACTGACGCGCTGGGCGCCGCACACGGAACCTTTCCCTCCGCTTCGGGGAGGGAGTGGGAAGAATCACGGAAGGCACCGGTCCCGCGCGGGTTCTTGGGACTTGTAGTTTAGACTGGGCTTCACTTCGGAGCCCCTAGGCTTGCGAGCCTGTGGGTGCAACTGATCCCCTTTTTATAAAATCCCCACCTGTTCTTGTGCGTGCACGCTCTCCTCGGTTAGAAAGTGTGTTTCTAAACCTGGCGTGTTGGTGCACGCCTGTAAATCCAGGACTCGGGTGGGGGGAGCGGGGGGAGCGGTGAGGAAGGAGGATCTCAAGTTCAATTCCTGTCTGAGGAACTTGAGAGATGTCTCTCAAGATTTAAAAATAAAAGGGCCGGGAAAATAGCTCAGTAGAATAAGCACATGCCTGGCAAGTGCAAGAGCCTGAGTTCAACCCCCGGTTCCGCCAAAAAAAAAAAAAAAAAAAAAAAGATTTAAAAATAAAAAGGGTTAGGGAGCTCAGTGTGAAGGCCCTGGGCTCCATCTCCACTAGCACACACAATAATAAATACAATTAAAATGTGTTTCTTCTCCCTAGGAGTGCTGCTGAAGAGAGCAAGGAGCTGGGAACTCAGACCCTAGCAGAAATGGGTGCTTTACTAAAATCAGAGTGAACGGGTTTTTTTTTTTTTTTTTTTCATGAATTTTATTGAGAAACAATTAGCAATGAGACAGTTTCAAAACTGATTCATAGGACAGTGTAAGATTTTAGTAGCAGAGAAAAGGAAGGAAGCAAGACCGAGGTCATTAAGATCTCCATGGTTACCCTAAATAACTTGGTTTGCAGACACAGAGGGTACTGGAGAATCGCATGAAAATGCCTTGGGGATCCTGAAATTGCTTAACGTTGTATTACTTTCTCCTTTTCCGATTTTCCTTCTCCAGCTGTGGGAGGGTGGGTGCCTGAAGAGTCAATATGACCCATAAACTAGAGTACAGTTGGTTTCTTAGAGGAAGAAGACCGGGCGTGTGAGGGGAAGCTGAGGTTTGTAGCCTTCCGAGCCATTTCTGATTATCTTAACTCGGTTTCTGCCAGTGCTCAAGATTTCCATTGACTGTCACAGACTTCTGGACACAATCACGACGACACGGGCAAAACGACGACGGAGCTACCTTTTTCTTCTTCCAATTTTCTCTTCCCTCTTCACCAGGCTCAAAGCCCCATCCATGTCTTCCTTGGGTAGAAAGGTCTCCTTTTTTTGGGGGGGGGGCGTTCATTTATGTATTTGGTACAGGGTCTCACTACATAGCTCAGACTCGTAGTGATCCTCCAGTTTTCATCCTCCTGATTACAGGCATGCGCCACCACTCCAGGACACAGTTGCTGGCTCAGCGAGCCCTGGAGGCGGACCGATGCGGCATAGCAGGACCTGGGATTGTAACCCTAGTCACTGTGCTTGCCAAAGCTGACGCTTAGTCCACTGAGCTATCTCACCAGCCCAGGGAGGCCTCATCTTTTACCCAGGACAGGCCTCTTCTTTGAGAGGCTAAATAGTGTCCTTCCTCAAATGAAGAGATTTGAGCTTGGCCCTGGACCCACACTCTCATCTCCATGCCTTGGTCTGTAATCCCAGGCGAGATCGGCTCACCATCTGTGAAGTGAGGCTTGTACTAGATCTATCCTTCTCTCTGAGCCAGGCCTGCTTCAGAAAACTGTACTTCTATCACCTCTGATCCATTCTTGAGTGCAGATGCCCTTAATTAAATGAAGTTATGCTATTCAGATAGATTCAATGTAAAAAGTGTGTTTTCGCTCCTGGAAATTTTAGCATATTTTTAAAAAGGGATCAACAATTGAAGAGTCAAGGAGGGAGTTTCATGTTCTCACACACACGCATATGCGCCCACACGCACACGTGCACATGTGCACGCACCTACACACGCGTGCACGCACCCCTCCAAACTCAGTAAAGCAGAATGAAAATTGCAAAATGTAATTTAATACAATGTAGTTCATACTATTTCTAAAAATAGAAGAGATATAGCAAAGTAATCTGTAAATGGTCACACACTATGAGTTCCAGAAAAAGGAGATCAGATGAGAGACCATGCAGTCTGGAGTTGTCTAGAAAAGCAATCTACTTTAAAAGCAGGGCATAATTTGGATAGATGAAGTAGTCAGAGAAGGCATTATTTCAGGATTTATTTGATATAGGGTCTTGCTACACAGTTCAGACTCGTAGTGATCCTCCTGTCTTAGCCTCCCCAACGCTGAGATTACAGGTGTGCACCACCACAGCACCTGGGGTTCTGGGCGCTTGCCAGGCAAGCACTTATGTGGCTGAGCTATCTCCCCAGCCCCTTATTTCAGGATTTAAAAGACCTCTGTTGATGGACCTTTAGGATTTTTACAATCTTAGTATTACAAACAATGCTCCAGGAAATACCTTTTTATAGACATCATTTTGAAAATTGGTCTCCCCCACCCCACCCCTCTTTACTGGGGAATGAACCCAGGGTCGTGCGGAGCTATATCTCCATCCCATTTTTTAATTTTTAATTTTGAGACAAGATTTTCACTACATCACCAAAGTTGAGTTCAGACTCCCAATTGAGCATCCTAAATGTCTAGGCCTATGGGCCATCACAAGGAGCTCAGTCCCATTTTTTTTATCTGCTGAGGAAAAACATAAGTTTTGCTCCTTAAAAACAAAAGGCAGTTCCTTAAATCACAATAACATACTAGCAAAAATACTTTTTTTTTTTTTTTTTTTTTTTTGCAGAACCGGTGTTTGAACCCAGGCCCTTGCACTTGCCAGGGAAGCGCTTACTCCACTGAGCCATCTCCCCGGCCCCCAAAATACATGTTTTATTCAAATATATAATTCAAAGGACAAATGAGGGAATTAGGGATTTGAATGGTAAGAAGAGGATCTAAATTAGTGTAGGAAAATCCCTGAAAGTGACAAGCACTAAACACTTAAAGAAGATAAACTTTCTTTAGTCCCTTAGATCACCACTAAAATGAAAGCAAGGAATGTTTATAAGACATAAAGTTATAATAATGAGAGTGACCATAAAAGACAGTAACCCATAGAAACAGAAATCAGTAGGGCTAGAAAGCAAATGAACAGATGACCAGGGAGATAGCTCAGTGGCATAAACGCCTGCCTGGCAAGCACAAGGTCCTGAGTTTGATCCCTGGTACCGGAGACACACACACACACACACACACACACACACACCCCACTGACAAAAATCAAATGGACAGTATTACTTAAGTTACCAGCCTGAGAAACATGAATCCTAAATACAAGGTGAGACCCAGCCTGCCTCATCCCGCAGGAGCCTGACATGTGAGGAACCAGTGGCAGCAGCCCCTGCCTACTGTGGAAGGGTAGAAGCTGCCACATGCAGCTAGCGCAGGGACCTTGAGTGGGAAGCAAGGCAAGGTAGTCGTTAGGTTTCCTTAACACACACACACACACACACACCTCCTCCTCCTCGGGGGAAGCTGAAATAGTTATCCTTCAGAGAGAATTAAGTAGGAGTTCTCTGTATGACTATATGGAGTTTAGAATTCTGAGAATCTGCTCACCAACGAGGAAACGAGGAAGCTAGAAGCTTCTCCTTCAAGGAACCTGACCAGGCCAAGGTTAAAGACTCAAAGACACTGAAGTCAGGAAATTTCTGGGGGAAGGAGAAGACTGCAGAACCTGGCTTATTCACCGCAGTCTGCTCCATCCAGAAGCACCCCCCCCATAGGTGTTCTTTAGATGTTTGTTAAATGAACAATCATTCAGCATAGACAGTTTTCAGTATTCAGGAAGCATAAAGGAGAAATTAAAAACCACTCGTATTTCTACTATCAAGAAAGAACTGGCGGATCATATTCACATCTAGTAATGCTGTTGCCAGAGGAAGAAATATATCGGTCTTTCTAACTTTATTTTTTAATTACAAGTTCTTGGTTAGATGATTTCTAAAGAGATTCTGGTAGACAAGTGAGTCACTAGCCCAACCCCCAACAGAAAAAGACCCTATCCTGCATTCCAACCCCCAACAGGAAAAGACCCTGTTCCATATGTAATCCCATTGGTTGACCATAGTTTTGTCCCACCTCCTGCCCACCTAAGTGAGTTCCCATTCTCTCTACCTTAGCCTCACATGGTTTTACACTATAAAAGTCCCTGGAAGAGAGAGCTTCCCGGGGAACTACCCGCTCGGGCCCCCCTCCTGTCCCTCTCTTGGACAGGAGCTTTCTTTCTCTCAATAAATATATTCTGCTCATAAAAAAAAAAGAGAGAGAGAGATTCTGGTAGAAATTGGGTGCATGTTGAAGGTCACTAAAATACATTGATATTTAATTTTTTCATGTAAATTAAGTACAAGATTACACACAGAAAGCATGAGTATTCTCTACTAGGTACTAGAAAATCATAAGCAAATCCAAGAATTAAATTAAATTGAACAACAAGTATATAAGGAAACAGTACAGGAGTCAGCAACCCTTCCTGACTGAGGACATGGGTCTTGCAATCAAAGCAACTTGGGTTCAAATCCTAGTTCTACCATTTGCCATTTGGATGTCCTTGGAGACATTTTTTTTTTTTCTGATTCTGGGATCCTCATCTTTAAATGGGGATAAAACTACTTTTTACAGGGTTATTGTGAATATTAGAAGAGCTGCCAATTAATCTCAAATTAGGTCAAAGTAAGTTTTTTGTTTCCTTCCTTCTTTTTTGTACTAGGTATCAAATTCAGGGCCTTATGCACCCTAGACTCTACCACGGAGCTACACTCCCAACCCAAGATTTCTCATGTTTAGATTGGTTTGGTTTGGTTTAGAGCAGTGTGTTAGTTTTCCATCGCTGTAACTGAAAACATTAACTTAGAGAAGGAAAGGTTTATTTTGGCTCACGGGCTTCAAGATTTTTGCCTGTGGTCACTGGGTTTCCTTGTGTCTGGCCTGGAGCGAGGCACAACATCATGATGGAGGATGGATAGGAGA